TCTGTACTGATTTTTCATCTCGAGACCTACAAAAGCTACAGGGCTGAAACTTTGGGAACTTAATCTGTACGGGCCTCCATGTCCAAAATGGACGCTCCTACCCATGTGGTACCCACTATGGACTCGTCAAAATTTTTTTCGAATAAGTTGCTAACTTGAGCACCTAAAATGCTAGAAAACTGGAATTTTAAAGGGATGTTCCCTGTCCAAATAGTTATTAATGAGTTTAAACCCAGCCCTCGGATGTGCTTGGTTCCTATGTACGGGCCCATGAAAGTTTTTTGCGGGTAGATTGCTAACGCGGAAACCAGAAAAGCTAGAAAGCTGAAATTTTAAAGGAATGTTTTCAGGCAGATCTGGTAGCCAGTCTTAGTTATCTTAGCTAGAAGCATTTGCAAGAAAATCTGGTGCCGTTGGCAACAAAAGCCTGCGGGAAACTATGCAAAAAAGCATCTTCGCACCGGCAGCTGATGCGTTTGCCAACTATTTTTTTTTTTAAATAATGACGATTTTCTGTTTATGGGGTTACTAATCATAACGACATTTTGTGCTAAAAAATGCCGAGCTTACGACTAAAGCCAGGCTGCTTTGAAATACTTATCCAAAAAAATGCACAACTGACATGGTTCCGAGTATAATCATTTTTCGGGTGCAACGTATCGTTGAACTGGTTGGCGATGGCTCGAAACTGTGAATTATCAGTGATCAGCGAACCACGCGAATTTTGGCTGTTTCTGCAATTTTGTATGTTGAATTTTGAATTTGATCATATATCTGGCTTATCCATTCTATAAGGCAACTCACTGAGATCTGGGTGTGGTTAGGTTGAAAATGGGATACTAAAAGCTTAAAAAGAAATACTGGTGACATTTCGAATTCTCTAAATGACGGTCCATAAATTAAACTCAGTGTCCAACTATTTTCGTACTAAGAAACCAGAAAAGTCATACACTTTTGAAAGCAAATTTCCTAGCTGCTTGACGTTTGTGAACAGCTGTTCAGGGGCAGCACTTAAAAACGGCATCACTTCCACCGGAATCAGCGACTGATTTTTGTGGCTGTCACAGATTCGATCCATCACCTGTAAATTTCGAAGTTTCATACAAACTAATGCCAGGAAATAAAACTCACAACTAAGAGCTTAAAAGATCGAAATTAAAACACTTCCTTATTCACTCGCCACGGGCGAGTTATACCGGAGGTGACTCTAAAAGACGCATAAGAAAAATATGCTTCATAGCCAAAAAAATTGGGAGCATACTGAAACTTACCTTGTCATGCTTACTCGAACCCCAGTAATTATTTGTTGCATTGATTTGCGCTTGAGATATTTTTAAGCCAGTTCGCAGTTCGCAACGAGCCTCAAAAAACCAACTTTTTCCCTAATAACGTCAATTAGATAATTGAATACAGAGCACCAGAAATCAAAAAAAACGACTTTTGGACTTCGGGATAGAATTCTTTTTTTGGCGATACAGTAGGACGATTTTTTACTCCTGTCAGGTTAACTCTGAACTAGTTCTCGACGACAAAATTCATTTGGCACTTTAAAGTAGTTGGCAAAGAACTTGTAACACCCAATTTACTCCCTTTTATAGAGTAAAGCCTGTGTTGCTGTTTTTCTGGATGGTTTAAAATTGTCATTGAAATCAAAATACCATGTAGTACCTACCGTCACAGCGTTAGACCTTGTCCTGAAGAACGAAAACTGTGAGTGCGAAAAGCTTGTGCTTGATCAGGCATTTATGATTTTGGGATATGTATCCTACCCATTTAGGAAAAAGGGACGGGAAAAATGACGAAATTCAAAGCAGCTCAAAGTTTTATCGAAATCGAGCGGCTATTTTTGGTGTGGCAAACATACAGCCTAAGAAAACTTGCAGTTACTCAGCCAAACCTCATGCCCTTTATCACAAAACAACTACATAATGACAAGAACAAAGAAGGACCAGATTGCTGTAAAGTTTGTTTTTTGTGCATCTTGAAACTATTACTATGCCCCTCGTCTGCTAAAATAATTAAAAATTAACTTTTCGGACTTTAATACCTGTTCTTGTAAGTTAAATTACCCCACTGTGGTAAGTCACGCTATGTTTTTAGGAAAAAATACATTTTGCGTTCACCTCGGCGTTGTTGAAACTGTTGTAGGAAATCTTTGCATTATTTGTTGCCAAATAAGCGGTATCCAGAGCAAGATTTTCCAGGAAAGAATTCCCGACAACGGCAACTTTTACATCGATCGGAGTGTTTTTTTGAACAGTTCGGCCAATTTGCAAAATGATCTCCATAACGTTACGGTGTATGAGATTACCATACAAGCAAATTTGAATTTCTGAAAAAAAAAATTCTCTTATATTTTTTTACAAATTTTCCAGCCAAAGATATTGATTACATACACCTTTTTTGCAAAAACATTTAACGAAGGGATACACTAAATTAATGGTTCAGGAAGCTTATTCTGCCAAACAAAGCATGTTTTGAAGTTAAACGGATCTAGGTGTCAAATCTTCACGGAGCTTTTCCGATATAACAGGTATTTTACAAAACCACCAAAAAAAAAGACGACAAACCGCTAGAATTTCCACTCGTCCCAAGTTTCACTGCGGAACTCAATGCTGTATTTTTCTGAAATCGATTATGCTGGAACTGATTGTTTTCAACTACAATATCCGTTTTTCCGGTAATTTCTTCCACAAGCAACGTTGTTCCTTGATTGTGCTGAAAATCATTTCTCGAAACTTTCATTTTGCCGTCCAAAAACTGATGCACTGCAACGACGCCATCACTGTTATTCTCGAAATGACAATCATCGATGAGAAATTCCGTGCCATTTGCATGCTCTAGCAATACAGCTTTTCTGAAATTTGATTTTTCAAAATGATAACTTAGTCGAAAGCGTACCGGCTGCCGGTACGAGGATGCGTTTTTTGCACAGTGTTTCCCCCCCCCCCCCCCCCCC